GTATCGCGTATCAACCAACTTCAATCTTGCACCAAAGTCGGCTATCTCACTACTTTCTAATGGCCAAGTTGTTCAACTAAGGTTCTACAGTCAGTTAGTGCTTCACGACTGTCGCGACTGGTTTTTTAATCAAGAGTCGCCACTATTAATTTTTATTCTAGGGAAGGAAATCTAACAGTAAACCCTAATTCACGGACATAGATTCTAGGTTTCAGACTCAATTAGACGAAAGGAAGGTGTTAGGCACCTTTCATCTACCTTGTTAACAAGGATACTAGGTTTTAGGTTTGAGTTGGGGAAATAAGATTTAAATTTTATTAGGGGAAATTGTTTAAATTTTTTATAGGGGAACTCACTATGATTTTTGATCGTATGCCTATGTATCCTCTTATGAGGAATCAAAGTCCTAATTCGTAGTTCGTATGGGTTGGTGTTTTTTGGGGGTTTGTAAGCATATTTTGAATCACTTCGCACTCGGTCGGGAGTACTGATTGCGGAGATTTTGACTGAGCGCATAGTAAGCCAAAACTAATTTGAAACCCATTTGCAAAAAACAGTTGATTAGCTTAGTTTATTGCGAAAAGATAGCTTGGGATTCGTTTGTGTTTTTTAATTGTATTAGTTGCGAAAATCTTGATTAATGCATGATTAGAAAAGATTTAATGCAAATAATATATAAAAATAATATATGCAATTTTAACATGAAAATAATTTATTTGATCATATAATAATATTTACGTATAATAAATAATAATAATAATAATATTTAAAACATGATAAAAATTAATAATAATAATAATAATTATAAATGAAAAATAAGTAAATAATTAATAAAATATAGCATAAAAAAATAATATAAAGAAATAATAAAAAAATAAAATAAAAATTTAAGTAAATCTGGGGGGTGCAATTTCTTGTTACCAAGTAAAACAGGGGGGGGGGGGGGGGGTGCCTAAAGGAATTTGGCCAAGCCCACTAATGCTGGCTGGACATGGGGGTGTATGATGCTGTTGCGTTTTAGAAAAATGGGCAAAGGGGGCGTGCATAGCATCTGGGCTTGGGCCCAACGAGTTTGGGAAATGGCTGGTTTGATTGCATGGATGGAGGTGCGTGAGAGTTACGATGGACTTGGCCTTATGGCCGTCCGCATGTGATCTAAGGGGTAGTATTGATGAAGCATCCTAACTACGGTGTACGCGTGCGTGGAGGATTGCAATGGAATACATAATTTGTTTTTTATTCATTTTCATCTTCATTTTACATGAAGCTCTTCTCTTCCTCGCTAACACCCAAACCCTTCTCCTTTATAAACCCTACCCAAATCTCAGCGGCGGCGACAAAAAACAAACCCTACCCACCGTCAATCTAACCCTAAAACAAAAGAAAAAGTTATCAGTTTTACCCTCTCCGTGATTTTATGTTCTCGAGCGTGTTCGATTTTCTACTGACCTCCCTCTCTTCCTCTTGATTTGTAGGACAACGATGGCGAAGGCGATGGAGGATAGTGATTCAGCGGTGTCCAATGGCGGCGACGAGGATTGCGAGCGGCGATTGTGGTTTCCGGTAGTGAAACCCCAATCGCCCCCTTCAATGTAATATCTTCTATTCTTATTCTTCTGTCTGTTTCTGTCTCTTCCCCGCCTCTGTCTATTAGCTAGCCAGCATACCGTCCAAAAAACCTCCTCTTCTGAATTTTTTATATGTTATTTATAGAGCTAGGAATTTTAGGGTTTTCAATTTTCAGTTAGAACTTAGATTAGGGTATTAGAGCAAATTAGGGGATTCGAATTTCATTGTAATTGATTTGTTGTAATGAGATTTAGATCTTGATTGGATTCTATATAATATTTTTCCAGATTTTATATTATGTTAGATTTTGATTCAGTTTGTAATATATTCTGGTTTAACAAAGATCTGATTCTGTTTAGCGCTTGTTTCTGGATTTGATTTTATTATGGAGATTTGTTTAAGTTTTTTGTATTATTTTGGATTTGTAATGTTATTTTTTATTCTTCTGTAATGTTTGAACGTCCTTGAAGATTTGATTCAAAAGAAGATAATTTGCTCAATATCTTTTTTTGCCAAAAGTTGCGCGTAATCCCTGGGTTAGATTGGTACAGTGCTAGTTTCTGGGCCTTACGTTGCTTAACTGGGCCTTTTCTGCCAAAAACGTTTTTTTTGTCCATCAATTTGTTTTTTTATTACAACAAGCATTTTCTTGGTGCGAACTGGGCCTAATTGGGCTTTTGCAAACAGATCTTTACCTAAAACAAAACTCTTAATTAAAATATTTTATTAAATTTTACTAATAATTTGCAAAGTAAATTAATTAATAAAACAAAAATATAGTAACAGTAGGAATTAGATAATTTTTTCACAAATGCCAAATGGGCCAATTTGGAAGCTTCTTAATGGGTATGCATAAAGCAATCTCAATATTTTTTCTCTTAAGTTGAAACAGTAATAAGAACATCAAATGGGCTTGGCTAAGAACTCGATGAGCCTAATCTTATAACCATACTTTTTTTTGCTATTAACAAAAGTGGAAATGGGCTAAACAAGATGGACTCGTATATTGAATTTTCACCTCCCCTTTCACTAACAACTATTTAATAATTTAGAACTTTACAGTTACTCCATTAATTTCCATTTACGAATCGCATGGGCCAATGACAAACATGCCTCGTGAATGGATTCACAGATACGCGAGTCTTTCTGATTTAGAAAGCCTCGTTTTCCTGAATTAAAAATACACCCCTTAGCTAGATAAAGACGGACCATCAGATACCGATGTACCGTATTTAATTAAGTATTTTCTTTATTTCAATCTCAAAAAATAAAATCGTCGCGGTAGGACAAATTTGGGGTACGACAGCTGCCCCTATTTATTTATCTTTCAATCGAATAACGTGAGAAAAACTCGAGTCTTGCACATTCTGATTGAAAGTTTATTGAATACTTGAAGTATCCCAAAATTTGTCCTACAAACATAAGGTTATACTGATGTAGCATACCCTTATAAGTCTCAAGGAAGTAGGCAAAACTGATGACATATCGCTTACCTGGGTTTGATAACGAGACAAGTGGTTTTTAAGAGCGCAATTTCATACGTTTGGAGGATGAGTATAACAATGATTGATGATGCATGGCTGCTTGAAGACTGAGGCCATGGGTTATATTCGCGAATCACTGCATGACGTTGAAACAACCATCTGAAAATCATCAAACAATAAAGTCGCCATCGAACGTCTTTTATCCCACATGTAGGGAAAGGTAAACATCGAGAAAACCTGAGAAGAGAGAAGTCACGGTCTTGCGACCGAGAGATCGGGTAAGGGAGTCTGTTACGCGAGGGGAAGGTATTAGCACCCCACACTCCCGTAGTACTCTACGGTATCGACTCTTGTTATCTATCTTATGGGTGTGTTTAATCTATGCTTATTGTCTACTATACTACTACTAAAGGGAGAATGCATGCAAAAGAAAGGGAAAAAGAATGTAGGGAAAATAAAATTATGTTCGCTTGGGCCCTACCCCAATGCCTACGTATCCGTTTTGAGGAATCAGAGCTACCGTAGTTCGGCTCACATGTTTTATTTGTTTGTGTTTTTTATGGACGAAGTTAATCCCGCCTTCTGCCGCAACTCGACCTTTGGAGACTTATGCGTTGGAACATAAGTAAATTAATCATGTCCTTACCTGAAAAGGGTTTTGGAGAAAGGTGCTTGAGCGTACAAAAAGATTTGAATTGGTTTGTATTTTTGTTGCAGATAATGACTAGTTGACCTCAAGAGAGAGACATTAGCCACTTTTCTACTTAGCCATGAAAGGAGTCTTTGAGAATTAAACCACACCTAGGCTTGAAACAAAGAACAATAAGATCGTGAAGAGACCCGCTTATCATTTCCCATACTAAGCAAAGGCATGATTCTCATCAGTAGTTTTAAAGTTTTTTGAAGTTTGAAAGAAAAAGAAGTTTTAGTTTTAAATGCATATGCAAAAAAGGGGAAAGAAAAGTATAAGGGGAGACTAACCTATTCCTAAACCTAATGTTATCATACTTCATATGATCTCTAGGAAGCGATAAATGCGGAGAGAATGTAGAAATAAAATATACCAAACAAGTACTAGCCCGTAGAGCAAAGCAAAAAGCAAAGAAACCCGACGATCTTCGCGAAAGCTAACGGAGAAGGTCCATTGCCTCTTCAAAACCACGCAAGCGATAAGAAAACTCTACAGAAGTTGCTTAACACAAGTGATCAAACAAATTAATCTCTAAGCATTCTATATCCCGAAAGTTACCTCAAAATTCTATCACAAAATCTAGGCTAAAAATGGCAACAAAAACGATTACCAAACATAAAAGCAATATTAGAAAATTCTAATAAAATTCTAAAGAGAAAACCTAAAAAAGTTCTAAAATGTTCTAATGTTTTATATTATTTTTATTATCAATTAAGAGAAAAATTAAACTAGAATAAAAAACTGAAATAATAATAAAAAAAGAAAGTTAGAAGAGTCAGGGGGTGCAAGTTGAATTCAGGGGGTGTGATCAAAAATAATGTCTGGCGTTAAGGCCCATCACCAAGTGAGTCAATTAACCATTTTTGTTCAGGAATTAAGAAGGTACCAAAAATCGCCCTTTTGGGCCTGAGACTGAGGATGATCTGGTCCAAAGAAATGATGTTGTTTTGAGGGTTTCATTTTGTGTCCCTCCATCTTATGAAAACACAACATTCTCCCTCTCTCTCAACGAACCGCACCTTTGAGCTTCTCCCGCGTTCGTCTGACGTTTTCGCCGCCGCTCCCCAGCCATGATGTTTCTTTTCCTCTCAATCTTATCTTCATACATAACCTCACCTTTTCTCAAATTTTTATCGAGTTCTTTAAATCCAAATCAAAGGAACCCTAGGAGACTTAGAATCAAAATTGAATGGTGATAATGCGTTGTATGGAGCGAATGGCTTAGGGGAACATTTTAGGGACTCAAAACCTTCACTATGGAACCAAGAAAAACGAAGAAAGGTAGAAGGTGGCGAAACCTACCGGAGGAAGCGGCGGCAGACAAGATGAACTCACAGGTACCTCAGCTCCTCTTCCTCGCTTCTTCTTTTCTTATTTTCTTTTTCGCTTCTCCTACTTTCCCAACTTCTGATTCCTCTACGTTTTCTAAATTTCAGCGTGCTTGCGGTTCTGAAGTTGTTGCATTCAATTGCATGCGCGTTCTTGATATGAGGCTGAAGCGCATTTGCTTTGTTGATGTTGAACGTAGAGAGATGATGATGAAGATGAAGACACAATGGTGCTTGAAGAATTGGCTTGGGGAGAGTGGGGATTGGTGATGAAGGTGCGGTTATGGAGAGATCAGTATTATTCTGAAGATAATTGAAGGAAGGTACCTTGAGGAGAGGTGAAGATGATAGGTGGTTATGTGAAGGTGCGTAAGAGAGAGTGAGTAGAGAAAGGATGAAGAAGGAGGTTCAGAGGTGATGGTAGTTATGGAGAGATCAGAGAGAAGATGGAGACGGAGGTTGGTGATTCTGCTTATGATGGCTGAAGCAAATAAGAGAACAACAATTTATAGTGAGTTATATAACTGATTTTTCTATATTTTGTAAAAAATGAATCGTGCCCCTCTTTCTTTCTCCTGAATTCTGTTGTAATCTGTTAGAAGTCAGTTATATTTCTATTAGTTAGTTAATTTTCTCTTTTATAGGGGTTTGTTAGGAAGTTAGAAATTTAGTTATAGTCGGTTATGGAGTTAGGAAACTTAGTTGGAGTTGGTTAGAGGTTAGTTGGACTGTTAGTTAGTTGGAAAAAGTTGGTTATAAAACTGTTAAAATTTGGTTATGAGTTTGTTTAGAAATCTATTATGATGTTAATTTGTTATAGTCGGATGGAAAGTTGTTTTGGGTTCTGTTAGAGGTTGGTTAAAACAGTTAGAGGGTGAGACATTTGAACCCTTAGATCTATTGCAAACAGTTGGGGATATATGGTGAGATCGGGTTAGTTAGAAACTGTTAACAATTAGTTTTTGTTGGGAGATGGTTAAAAGGGGTTTTGTTACAGTTATAGTTAGTTTTTGTTGATGTTAGTTAACTCTGTTAATGCTACTGTTAGCAGTTAGTTAGTTCTAAAATATTTTTGTCTCAATGAGTTTGTGATCAATTTAAGCCTTGCATTTCAGTTTAAAAACACTTAACATAATTGGGTGAAAGTTAGTTAAAATGTTAGTTGTTAGAAGTTATTGATTCCTGGCCATATACTTCTGTTAATTGTTTAGTAAAGCTTATGAAATCAGTTGGAAATTCGATTAGATCAAAAAGTTAGTTACTGCTCAGTTAGCAATTAATTAGTTTGTAGAGTCAAAAAAGTTAGTTAGGAATTTGGTTAACTGTTTTTTTTCCAATGAGGCTTGGTCACAGTTTGTTACGAAAATTAGCTTTTTCATCCCTTTCACACTTGGATCGAATTATTGAATGAGTGATTTATTCTGTCTTTTTTATTAATATGCGGAAAGTTGGTTATGACAAGTTGTGGGACATATTGATATTTCATTGCAATTTACTTCTAGCTTGGTCCATACACTAAATCCTCATATCAAGAATGGATATTGCATGCATTAACTCGACCATATATGTTGCGGTTTGTTCATGACTTGTATTAAGTTTCACATGTCAACTGCTAGCTCAAAGTGCATGTCTTGTAACTGATGTGCTGATGTGCTGTTTTTTTTTTGTTGCTATATGTAGGTTGTGATGGAAAGGATACAAGTTGGGATTGACTTTCAAAATAGGCATGGTATTGAAGTCCATTAGCAAGACAAGACTGGAAGACAGGGTACAAGGCATTTGGTGCAAAGTTAGAAGCTTGACATGGAGACTGATTCGTATGGCATGGCATGACGTTCGGTTAAGACTCGAAACATGGAGGGTGATATGGATTAGAATAGGTTTTAATTGTTGTGTAAAGTTCCATGTGTATAATGGTATATATGTTGGAAACTGTAATGTAAATTATAATGAGGTTATGGTATTTTGTAATGGCTAGTAATTCTTTCTCCTTAATGTAATTCTTCGAATGGAATGATATTTGGAAGTTGGACGAACTTGCATATTTAAAGATGAATGATTATCTTTTGAGAGAGATTTGCTTGTAAATTGTCATGTGAATGGACTTGAATCTTTAAAATTGTGAGCCATGTACAATGACGTTAGATGATGGATGAAATGGTGGGAAATTTCTTGAATCCCTAAGTGGATTTTGATGAACTCTGAAGGAAAGTGAAAGATGTTGAATTTTGATATTCTGATGATTCTTTTTAAATTAAATTTGGTATCCTGAATAATATTTGAATAACCTTGAACTTGTATACCTCATTACTTAAATCTTAAGAAATCCAAATACATTTCTTTTTCAACCTTACAAGCCTCCAACAACTCTGATGAATTGAACCAAGTTTGAATCCATGGAATCATTTAAATCCACTTCAACCTTAATCCAAATTAAATCGTACGACAAGCAACAATCAATTTGAACGAATGACGCTTTGATTATAATCCGCATCTTGTATCACGTCTCGATTGTATGAGCAATAAAATAACAATGTCTTGAACCCTTGAAGAAAATATTTAAGATGACTTTGACCTTAAACCCTAGCTCATTTAGTCTTTACTTAAACCTTTAGTGAAACCCTAATGATCCTGCCCTTGGTGAAGATGACAACCTTGTAGCTTAATGAGAGAAAGAAGTTCTCAATGATCAAGAATCTAAACCCTAGCCCCACAAACCATAGTTAATGAGAAACCAATTGATTCAAGCCTGAGTGGAGATAAGGGTCTAAAAGCACATATAAAACCCTAATCTTCAAGATCCTTGTTCCCATGCTACGTTTACTAATTAATGATGCATGACGTGTTAAATGACCTAATGGAAGGTTATGTACATGTGAAAAGTGAGAGACGCATAAGATAGATAAAAGTAAAAGGGGTAGGACAAATTTGGGGTATTACAACTGCCCCTATTTAATCATCTTTAAACCTGAAAGTTCGATTGGCACGTGCCTTTCAGAAGTTCAAGGTTGAAGATGATTAAATATCAATGCCAAAAATTTGTCCTGGGAGGAAGTGTGAGTATTTATCTATTTTTGGGGGAATAATTATTTTGTCTTTTAGTGAAGAGATGGGATTGGACTTGTAACGTAGCATGATGCCAATACAAGGAAGAGATCGGACTTGTAACGTAGCATGATGCCAATATAAGGAAGAGATTGGGCTTGTAACGTAGCATGATGCCAATACAAGGAAGGTACAACACATACGAGTGTTTGAATCGATACGGACGAGTATCGAAAGAAGATACGGACGAGTATCAAGAAAGGTCAAACACGGACGAGTGTTTGAATACAGACGGGTATTGAAAGAAGATACGAACGAGTATCAAAAGGTTAAACACGGACGAGTGTTTGAATCAATATGGACGAGTATTGAAAGAAGATACAGACGAGTATCAAAAGGTTAAACACAGACGAGTGTTCGAATCAATACGGATGAGTATTGAAAGAAGATACAGACGAGTATTGAAATGTGAAACACAGACGAGTGTTTGGATAACTGACACGGATGAGTGTTGGAAGTCTGAATTATTTGTCAGATGGGAGTTTAGGAAACCTGACACACACGAGTGTTTGGATCAATACGGACGAGTATTGAGAAAAGGTACAGACTAGTACCAAGGAAAATTTAAACACAGACGAGTGTTTGAGTGATTGACACAGATGAGTATTTAGGAATTTACATGGACGAGTGTTTAGGAATTGACACGACGATTGTTTAGGAATTTATACAGACAAGTGTTTAGAAGTTGACACGATGAGTGTTTAGGAATTTACACAGACGAGTGTTTAGAAGTTGACACGATGAGTGTTTAGGAATTGACACAGACGAGTGTTCAGGAATTTACACTGACGAGTGTTTAGAAGTTGACACGACGAGTGTTTAGGAATTGACACAGACAAGTGTTTAGAAGTTGACACGACGAGTGTTTAGGAATTGACACAGACGAGTGTTCAGGAATTGACACGACGAGTGTTTAGGAATTGACACAGACGAGTGTTGAGCTTGGACTTGGTGTATTGATTTTGCTGGGCACTTGAAAAGGTGAAGGTCATCGACTGAGGATTTTGGGAATGATATCCTTTTGTAGGGACGTATTGTTGTCCCTGAGTGATTCAGATCTTTCGTGTAAGGTACTTGATCTGGCATATGCTTCGTCTGCATGTTTGAATTCCTTTTGCCGCAAAGGTCCGTGCTGATGGATCAGCTACACACCTTTGAGGATGCAATGTTATGTAATGATAACTATATGCAATGCAAAGAAATAAACTTCATGGGGATAAGAGAAGGCCCACTGGGAACCGTTGCTCATCACTGGGGATGTCAGTACATATCGACGTTGGAAGCCTGCAGTACCAAAGGTCGTTGGGGATACTGATAAGAATTGCATTGGTGAGCCCATGATATCGAAGATTGTTGATGGCTATGCTGAAGATTGAATTGCTGATGAAGCGAGTTTTCAGATATGCCGATGAGTTCTGAATCGTACTGTTGGGGAAGAGATAATCTGGCCATACTTCTGTACATCCTGAACTGAAGAAAATGGTGGAACTTAATACGCCAAAGAATGGATACTGAACACCATGTAGATCTTTTTGAACACATGCCCCAAGTTTGTGCACACTGGGGGGAGTTATCTCTTGAATCAATTGGGGATAAAAGATGGGCATGGACACTTGTGAATGCCCCGGTTTAGCTCTGCGGATGCCCTGGTTAAGCTCTGCGAATTCCCCGATTAAGCTCTGCGAATGCCCCGGTTAAACTCTGCGGATGCCCCGGTTTAGCTTCACTGGGGACGTTCTTGATTAACTCCACTGAGGATGCGCTTGCGCGTGCCGAGTCAAACGACGACTCCGAATTTTCTGAACTTACTTGGGGAATCAGATTTGAAATTGTCTGCAACAGATGAAGGCGGCTTCGTGTACTGGCTAGGTCAGGGTGACCGTTACAAATTGCTACCTGCAAGGAAAAACAACACTTGGAATGCATACGACATCCCCACATGGTTATACATCGACGTAAAGTCAAGTTTTATCTCGGCTCGAGAATTTTTATTCCCCACATTTCTAATGCAATGTTTAATAACAAATAAAACACATTCTGCATAGGAAAAACTTTTTATGATAGTAAGAGACAAACTTTTGATGAAAACAAACTTTATTAATAGGCCCGTGAATAAGCATTTGTACAAGGAAGCAACTTCTATATGAGGCAGCTGGGAAACAGAA